CTTGCCTTTGCAATCTTCTCTTGGTTCTTTGGTATCACCCCAGAAAACCTAACAGAGTGTATCATAGATACTAAAATATCTTATTCACTGGAGGCAACAGCTGGTTAGTAAACACTGCATTTAAGATATAAGCTCCTCCTTTGCAGCAAAGGGGGGTATAGCTCAGGGGTAGAGCATTTGACTGCAGATCAAGAGGTCCCTGGTTCAAATCCGGGTGCCCCCTAGTACCTTCACTTTTAAAATTGAAGGCAAGACCAAGAATATACTTCATATTCTAGTAGTCAGAAAAACATTGGGACATTAATTACATATGTGATAGCACCTTCCTCTGAATCAGTGGTTTGTGGATTATGCCATGAAGACCCTCAGGTCTCTGTGAGATCCTTTCAGTGCAGAAAAAGTGGGTTATTCTCACATTAAGAGTAACATGACTTACCTGTTATTCTCTTTAGTCCATGAGAAAACAAAGTAACTTCCCAGAGGCTACATGATATACATCACAATACATTAGATGTTGAAATAAGGAATATACTCTTTAGTCCATAAGAAAACAAAGTAACTTCCCAGAGGCTACATAGTATACATCACAATACATTAGATGTTGAAATAAGGAAAAATAAAAACAACAACAAAAACCCTGTTTCTCATTAAGCCAGATGTTACAGGGATTTAATAAATAAATAAATAAGACAAAGCCACTCTTGTTACTGTATCATTTGTCTTTGGGAAAATACAATTACTTGGGCTGGGGATGTGGCTCAAGTGGTAGCGCAGTCGCCTGGCATGCTTGCAGCCAGGGTTCGATCCTCAGCACCACATACAGACAAAGATGCTGTGTCCGCCAAGTACTGAAAAATAAATATTAAAGTTCTCTCTCCCTCTTTCTCACTCTCTCTCACTCTTTCTTTAAAAAAAAATGTACAGATTCATGAGCTCTCTCATAAATTAACCAAATTAAAATCTTAAAAAAAAGAAAAAAAAGAAAAGAAAATTACTTTTCATTTTTAAAGTGTTTAAAGTGTTATTTAAAAGCAGGACAAGGTGATACACAACTGTAATTCCAGCAATTTAGGAGGCTGAGGCAGGAGATTTGCAAAATCCTTTTCTCTGCCCTGAAATCCACTTTTTTCTTCACTAAAAGGGTCTCACAGTCATCCGATGGTCTCCATACCGGAATTCACCAGCCATTGATTCAGAGGATACTCTTCTCAATATTATCACATTGTAGCTATTTTTCTTTCCCTGTCTAGGTAATTTAGCAAGACCTTGTCTCAAAATAAAGTAAGAAGGGCTTGGGATATAGCTCAGTGGTAGAGCACTTGCCTAGCCTTCACTGAGGCCCTTGGTTTTTAATCCCCAGTACTGCAAACAAACAAACAAAAAACTTTTTCCTAAAAAAAGAAACTAGAATAGTTTGGGGGTATGGCTGAGTGGTGTGCTTACTTAGCATGTACAAGGCCCTGAGCCTAATCCATAGATTTAATATCTAGTAACAGGGCTGGAGTAATGGCTCAGTGGTACAGTGCTTGCCTAGGATGTGTGAGGCACTGGGTTCAAACCTCAGCACCACATAAAAATAAACAAACAAAATAAAGGCATTGTGTCCATGTTTAACAGTAATAAAAAAAGTTAAAAAAAATCTAATAACAGACACATATTTAAAGAGGTTTCTTTTTCTTTCTTTCTTTTTTTTTTTTTTGGTAATGGGTATTGAACCCAGGGGCACTCAACCACTGAGCCACATGCCACATCCCCAGCCCTCTTTGTTTTTTATTTTGAGATAGGATCTTGCCAAAATGCTTAGGGCCTTGCTAAATTGCCAAGGCTGACCTCAAACTTGCAATTCTCCTGCCTCAGCCTCCCGAATTGCTGGGATTACAGGCATGTGCCACCACACCTGGCTGCAGGTAAAAATTTTTTAAAAATGAAAAAATGAAAAAAAAAAGTTCCTCCATAGTCTTCCCCATCTTGGTTGAGTGTCATCTTCCAAATGCTCAAAACTGAGGTCTTGAAAAGATTTCATTTGGAGAGGAGTGCATCCTGGAGATTTAACCCAGAGGGGCTATATCCCCACCTTTTTTTTTAGTTGTCAATGGACCTTTATGTCACTTATTTATATGTGGTACTAAGAATCAAACCCAGTACCTCACACATACTAGGCAAATACTCTACCACTGAGCCATAACACCAACTCTGTTCTTTTTTTTTTCTTTTAATTTTGAGACCTCAAAATTTTTTAAATTTTGCCTCCCCACCTCCTAATCACTCACTCTGCTCTTTTTTCAGGTCTCACTAAGTTTCTTAGGGCCTCACTAAATTGCTGAAGCTGGCCTTGATTTCACAATCCTCCTGTGCTGCTGGGAGTGCAGGTGTGCACCACTATGCCCAACTCTTGAAAACATCTTGATTCTTTAACAGTCCATATTTTGTTGCCTCTGCATCCAAAACACATCCACAGTTGGACTACATTACATTGCCTCTACTGATACTACTGTAATCCAAGCCAACATCCTTTCTCTCTGGGGCCATAGCTCCCTAAGAGGTCTCCTATGTTCTGAGGTATAGTTAGATCCTGTCCCTCTTCTGCTTAAAATCAGGCAATAGTTTCCCATTTCACTCAGGAAGTGCCACAATTTGACACTGGTGTACAAAGCGGCACATGATTCGTTTCTAGATTATTTATTTATTTATTTATTTTTATCAGAGATTGCACTCAGGGGTGCTTAACCACTGAGCCACATCCCCAGCCCTTTTTTGTATTTTATTTAGAGACAGGGTCTCACTGAGTTGCTTAAAGCCTCACTAAATTGCTGAGGTTGGCTTTGAACTCATGATCCTCCTGCCTTAGGCTACTGAGCCCTGCTCTAGGATTTTTTTTTTTTTTCAAAAATGCTCTATTAGGGCTGGGGATGTGGCTCAAGCGGTAGCGTGCCCGCCTGGCATGCGTGCAGCCCGGGTTCGATCCTCAGCACCACATACCAACAAAGATGTTGTGTCCGCTGAGAACTAAAAAATAAATATTGAAAATTCTCTCTCTCTCCTCTCTCTCACTCTCTCTTAAAAAGAAATGCTTTATTATTTTTTATTTATTTCATTACTACTGACCTTTTCTTCTACTATTCTTCTGTCACTCACCTCCCCAGTCACACCAGGCTTCCCCATTGGTTCTCATAAGATTCTCATAAGATTCACTCCTGCCTTCTGGCTTTTCATTGGCCTTTGGTTCTGTCTGAACCTCCCTTCAGATAGGTAACTCTCCTCGCCTTCAAGTCTGCTCTAATGTCAACTTCAATGAAACCTGCCCTGACCTATATTTGATTTTTGTAATTTGCCTCCCTACTTCCTGATCACTCAGTCTGCTCTTTTTTCATAATACTTGTCTCCATCTAACACATATTACATACAGAAATTTTAAAATGATTATTTATTGGGCTAGAGTTAGGGTTTTGCGTCTAATATCTATTTGACTAGGATTAGGATTTTCTGCCTCCACCTCCACCCTGTCAGAATGAAATCTCCGTAAAGGCAAGAATGTTGGTCTAGAGAACATTGAATTTTTTAGAATTCCACATGAATCATGTGAAATAGGTCTTGACTTCCTCATTTCTAGATAAATCATTGTATTTAAGATTTTTTAAAAGCCCTTCAATAGTCAATAGATGAATTGATACAAAAGAAAACATGGCATATATACACAATGGAATATTACTCAGCAATAAAAGAGAATAAAATCATGGCATTTGCAGGTAAATGGATGGAGTTAAAGAAGATAATGCTAAGAGAAGTTAGCCAATATCAAAAAGCCAAATGCTGAATGTTTTCTTTGCTATAAGGATGCTGATTCATAGGGCATAAGGAGAGGGAGCATGGGAGGAATAGAGGAACTCTAAATAGGACAGAGGGGTGGGAGGGAAAGCGAGAGGGCATGGGGTTAGAAATGATGGTGGAATGTGATGAACATTATTATCCAATGTACATGTATGAAGACACAAATTGGTGTGAATATACTTTGTGTACAACCAGATATATGAAAAATTGTGCTCTATATGTGTAATAAGAAGTGTAATGCATTCCGCTGTCATATATAAATTTTAAAAAGCAAGAAAAAAGAAAAAAAAAGATTAAAAAAAAAAAAGGAAGAAGAAAAATTTTGGTCTACTATGTTCCCTAATGTAATCTGATGTATGCCCTGGCCTGAATCTGGCATAAATTAAGCGTTCAATAAACATCTGAATGAATGAATGTATCCATGGAAGAAAAAAAAAGAAAACTGGAGGTTGAAGTTGTGAAAAGATATAGTTAATAAAGCAATACATGTAAAAATAGTATGATACCAAATACACTGAGACCCAATGATCTGTATGTAGTGTGTTAGTAGCACATCTCAATTGTACTACATCCCAGTGAAACCTTTTGGAGCTTGTTCTTGCTCCACCCTCAGCCCTCTCCATTCCTGGGTTATCCCTACATGACACAAACTGCTTTAATTTCTTCTTCTTCTTTTTTGGGGTTACCGGGGATTGAACCCAGGGGTGCTTAACCACTGAGCCACATCGCCAGCCCTTTTTAATATTTTATTTAGAGATAGGGTCTCGCTGAGTTGCTTTAAGGCCTAGGTTAAATTGCTGAGGCTGACTTTTGAACTTGGCGATCCTCCAGCTTCAGCCTCCCGGAGCTGCTGGGATTACATGAGTGCACCACCGCGCCCAGCGCTTTAATTACTTTTGAATCCTTACTGTCCAGAAAAGTTCTCGGTATACACGAAGTGCTCAAAAGCTGAGTAAGCTAACAAATCTACGTGGCCGTGTCCCCAGCTACTTTCGAACTCCTAGACCGGATACCGGGTTTCACTGGCTCCTGCACACCTCAACCTCACCGCTGCCCACCTGTCAGCTAAAATTGCGGAACTGATTACGTAATCAGGCAGCGCCGGAGGGAAGAAGCTGGTTTAACTAGCCCTCACTTCCCAGGGCGGGGATGGGCGGGGCTTCGAGTTCATATCCCAGTGTCCTTTGTGTCTACTTCCTTTCGGTCCTTTTCCGGCGTCCAAGATGTCGAAGCGAGGTGAGTTTTGGACTTTAAGACATCCTATTCCATCCGTCTCGAGATGGCTGCTGGCCTTTCCGGGAGCGGCAGCCTTGGACAGCGAGGGCACTTTGCTCTCCTCCCGGCCAGGGAGAAAGAGGCGGTGCGCCGCGAGAGCGCTGGAAGAGTCCTCTAAGTGGCCGGAGGCGGGGGGAGCTGGATCGTTCAGCTGGCGGGATCCGGACATGATTCTAAACCGAACCCGGTGGATTCGCTCTGCGAACTGAGCTGAAGTAGTGGGGTGACAGTAGACCCGGGCTTAGGCGACCTGTGCAGTTCCCCGCCTTGCCGGAGGAACGGCGTGTTGAGAAAGGTGGAGCGAGGATTGGGTCGTCCAGGCCCCTTGGTCTCGACCTAAAGATGGTAATGGTGAGGAATCGGGCATGTTCCGTGAGAACCGGGTAGCACGTGGGGAGGGCATAAGTGGAAGGAATCCCAGGTGAGAGAAAGTGTCAAGGGAACTTCGAAACACGTCTACACGGGGACCACTTTGTCCTGCTTCCCTTTTTATCCATAGGACGTGGTGGATCCTCCGGTGCGAAATTCCGGATTTCCTTGGGTCTTCCGGTAGGAGCCGTGATCAATTGTGCTGACAACACAGGTGAGGCCTTTGCCTGCGTCCCCGCTACACTCCCCCTTTTAAAAGCACTCACTGGGTCTTTTGATAATGACCCATTGAGCCGTCAAGAAGGGGCAGAATAAAACACCGCTTTTGGGTGAAGTGGCAGCGTGTTGTGTTGTTTTGCTTCAATCGGTGGTGTGACAATTATTCTCCGTTCCACTTTGGGAGCGTGCAGGGAGAATCTTTGGAAATACTTGAATTTTATATGGGTGGTTGTGCCCAATGGGCCCTCAAAATTTTGGCTTTTTGTTTATATCCTTTCGTAGGAGCCAAAAATTTGTATATCATCTCTGTAAAGGGAATCAAGGGACGGCTGAACAGACTTCCTGCTGCTGGCGTGGGTGACATGGTGATGGCCACGGTCAAGAAGGGCAAACCAGAGCTCAGAAAAAAGGGTGAGTAGATGTGGAGACTTACCTCTTTGTGGATAGTTGAAGTTCTTCACTTAACTGGAAAATGGAAAATTTGTTTTATATTTTATATTCCGAAGGCCTCTAAATGCGTACTTTCCTTTCAGATACAGTTCTCGTCACTTTCCTACTTAAGATGTTTAATTTTAATTTTTTTTTTAGTTGTAGACAAACACAATAAATATCTTTATTATGTCGTGCTGAGGCTTGAACCCAGGGCCTCACACATGTTAGGCGAGCACTCTATCACTGAGTCACAACCCCAGCCCCTAATGGGAATAATGGGACTAACATTTTTCCAGGTGGTTGTGAGTTGCTGAGCATCTGTTACTATTACCAGCACTAGGTGAAAACAAAATTTCAGCTATGCTTTACAGCCTGCTGCTTGAGTTGATTACTTGATCGTGGCCTGCTCTCCAAAATCTTTCCGCAAGGTGTAGGAATTAAAAGGACAAACCTCAGAGTGCTTTCCACTTATGCTGTCTTGCTGTAGAACTTCTGATGGTCAGTGCACTTTCTTTCAGTTGTGAACTTTCTTTCTGTGTCACCTTAAGTCTGTCTGTATTCTGGATATCTTGCTCTTCCAGAGAAGTCCTGGCCATCCCTTGGTATCTGGTACAAATGTGCTGTGGTGGGTAATGGTAACATTTTATAGTTATTTCTTGTGCACCTGCATCCATTCCTCCATAACCTCCAGTAGATCTGGTGGAGGATACTGGGGATTGAACCCAGGGGCTCTTTACCACTGAGTTATATTCCCTGGCCCTTTTTATTTTGAGTCAGGCTCTCACTGAGTTGCTGAGGCTGACCTTGAAGTTGGCAATCCTTGTGCCTTGGCCTACAAAGTTGCCTGGATTACAGGTGTGCACTGCCATGCCCAGCTAGATTTTGTGTGTGTGTGTGTGTGTTGCTGAGGATTGAACCCTTATGCATGCAAGGCAAGCACTTTACCAACTGAGCTATATCCCCCAATTTTTTTTTTTTTTTTTTTAATAACTGTGAATGGGGCTGGGGATGTGGCTCAAGCAGTAGCGCGCTCGCCTGGCATGCATGCAGCCCGGGTTCAATCCTCAGCACCACATACAAACAAAGATGTTGTGTCCACCGAAAACTAAAAAAAAATATATATATATATATTAAAAATTCTCTCTCTTAAAAATATTAATTTAAAAAAAAGAACTGTAAATACCGCTTGGCCATGGTAGCACTCAGGTTGTGATTAAGTGTTGATTAATTTGGGGGGACAAAGATGCATCTGCTAGGGCATTTTACTCTCCTCAGAACACTTCCTGGGTCTGACTGGTGGCCTGGGGAGCTGTCAGAGAAGAGCAGAGCATACAGCCCTTACTGGTTGGGTGAGAAGGCATCTATTCCTATTACTAGGTGAACACAAAATTTCAGCTATGCTCTAAAGCTTGCTGCTTGAGTTGATTCCTTGATCATGGCCTGCAGTAGGATATAATGTTGGTCTCAAATCAGTGAGGGGACAAACCAGAGATGAGCACATAATGGTTTTTAACAATAATTGTGAATTTATAATTCTGTCAATGTCTTCATTGACTATACACAATAGGTACAAAAATATAGAAATGGAGGGCTGGACTGGAAATCCAACTTCTTCAGTTTCTGGTCTTATTAAATGGTTTATAAGCAAAAGAGGCTCTTAATAAATAAATATTAATTTATCTTTGTCTGGTACTTGGCCTCAAAATACAGAATCTGTCTCATATTTTCAGTGTTTCTGATTGATTGTGGTACTAGAGATTGAATTCAGGGCCTAATGCCTGCTAGGCAAATGCTGCACCACTGATCTTCATCCCTAGTCCTAATTGTTCCTTTTTTTTTTTTTTTAAATGAACTCTGGAATATTAAATAATTTTAGGGACTGAACCCAGGACCTGATATATGCTAGGCCTTAGTGTGTGTAGGTGGGTTTTGTTTTTGTACTGAGGATTGAATCCATGGTGCTTAACCACTGTGTAACATACCCTTTTTCTCTCTCTTTTTTTTTTTAATCATTCTTTTTGAGATAGTTTCCCTACATTGTTGAGGCCTAGAACTTGAGAGTCTCCTGAGTCACAGTTTATAGGCATGTGGCAGCCTAAGTGCTGGGGATAGAGCTCAATGGTAGTACACTTCCCTAGCATGTATGAGGCCCTGGGTTACATCCCTAGAACTGGAAAAAAAAAAAACACACACACACACACACATACATACATATACATAAAATCTCACATATATCACCTACAGTTGAATAGATAGAAGTCATAGGGTAGAGTTTAGTCAGGATTCTGGATATACTTAGTATGTTTAAGGAGTTTGTGCACATGCACACTGGCAGTTGTAGGTTTTCTTTGGGATTATTGGGACTTAAATGAGTTTATATTTGTAAAAGCTGATACATGGTAAGTATATCTTTATTGCTGGGCACATTAGTAAATGACTAATACCAGCAATTCAGGGGGAGGCGCTGAAAATAAGCCAGGCAGGGTGGTACATGCCTGTAATCCCAATAACTCACAAAGCTAAGACAGAAGGATGGCAAAATTGAGGCCCTGTCTCAAATGAAAAGAATTGGGGATGTAGCTGAGTAGTCAAGTACTCCTGGGTTCTGTCCTTGAGTTCTTGGAAGCAATTTTTAGATCAAGGTATATATACATTTAAATTTATTTTGGGGAGACACCACTGGAGTAGAATATTGTTTGATAAGGGTCCAATTGCTTGGACTTAAACTATATGTGTGTTGTCCCTGATACTTTTGATTGGGATCTAAATAGTAAACACGGGTTAGGTAAAGTATAGATAGTGCTTAACAAGTTTGTTACTATTTATCCCCCCAAAAGAGTACAAATTTAATGTTTCAAGAAAATGCTGGCAGTTTAAAAGGGTGATTGTGTATGTTCTGTCTCTTGCCCTTGCTTTTAGGAAATGGAACGCTGATAATGGGTGATACCTTCTGCCTTGAGACATACATGGCTTCTGTGCTGGCACTGGGATTTGACAGGTTAATGACTGCTGTTCTTTCTCTCCCTTAGTGCATCCAGCAGTGGTAATTCGACAACGAAAGTCATACCGGAGAAAAGATGGTGTGTTTCTTTATTTTGAAGATAATGCAGGGGTCATAGTAAACAATAAAGGCGAGATGAAAGGTAAGAAAACACTCCATGACATTCTGTAGATACCTGAGGGTGGGATGCTGGGGGATTTAACACTGGTCTAGGCATACAGGCAAGGGACCCTCTGTCTCACCTGTTTTGTCTTTTTTTTTTCCCAATGCAGGTTCTGCCATCACGGGACCAGTTGCAAAGGAGTGTGCAGACTTGTGGCCCAGGATTGCTTCCAATGCGGGCAGCATTGCATGATTCTCCAGTGTGTTTGTAAAAATAATAATACCCATTAAACAGTGCTTTCTCTCACTGCTTGCTTGCCTGTTTATTTCTTTGCTTTTCTTGTCACCTTGTAAGAAGAAATTGTTAAATTCAAACTCCTGGCATGTGTGAAGATACAGTCCTTGCTCTCTGTGTCCTTGTTGAACTTCTGGCACATTTCCAGTTGCTGTTATTTCCTATTTTGTTTTTGAACCCAGGGACACGACTATCACTGAGCTATATATCCAGCTCTTTTCAGTGTCAACTTTGAGACCAGATACCAAGTTGCCTAGGCTGTCCTTGAACTTGCTATCTTCTTGCCTCCCAAGTCATTTTAGATTATAGGCTGTTGGCATCACACTTGGCTTAATGTTTTTATGGACTACTTGATTGTAGTTGTCCCATGTATGGTTTTATTCAGTTTTTGAGGTGCTGGGGGTTCAAACCCAAGGCTTTAGCACACTAGGAGCCTGATTTACTTCTGAGCTTCAGTACTCCTGACCCACCATATATTCTGCAGCCACTAGGGATTGAACCCTGTGGTGTTTGTTCTGCAGAGCTAATTACCTGTCCTTTTTTAAGACAGGTCCTTGAGCCAGGCTGGTGCATTCCTGTAATCCCAGTGGTTATGTAGGCTAAGGCAAGAAGATATCAAATTTAAAGCCAGCCTCAGCAATTTAGTGAAGCCTAAAGCAACTTAGCAAGAGGACCCTCTCAAGAGTGTGGATGGTGGCTTTAATTTTTTGAGGCAGGATCTCCCTAAGTTCCTAAGTTGAGTTTCACAATCCTCCTGCCTCAGCCTCCTGTGTTTCTGGATTGCAGGCAACACCTTGCCTGTACCACTCTTTCAAAGTGACCTTTTTCTAATGTGAAAATGGTACGGTGACGCATGCCTGTAATCCCAGCAGTTGAAGAGGCTATGGTAGTAGGATTGTAGGTTCAATGCCAGCCTCAGAAATGTAGCAGAGCCTTAAGCAATTACTAAGACCCTGTCTTGACAATTTTAAAAAGGCTGGGAATGTGGCTCTGGTTAAGCTCCCTGGGTTCAACGCTTTGTACCAGAAACAAAACCCAGTAAATCCATCTTGTGTGTTTTCATCCACCAAATGAGGTTAGTTAGCACCCTATGGGGCTGGTGTAAGGAGCAAAGAAGTTTGTTGAAGATGCTTTGATGTATGAGGGTTGGTGTGATTGGGGGGGGAATTGGGGTTATTAAAAAAAGTATTACCACCTGTAGTCATAACAACCAAATTTTTTTTTTTTATATATCCTATAAGGTGAAAAAATATGTCAATGTGTCCACATTGTTGTTTTGTCTTTTTTGTACCCAGAGCGGTGCTTTACTACTGAGCTATACCCCCAAGCCTTTTATTTTTTGAGCCTGTCTTCACTAAGTTTCTCAGGGCCTCATTGAATTGCTGAGACTGGCTCAGAACTTGAGATCTCTTGCCTCAGCCTCTGAAATCCTTGGGATTACAGGTATGAACCACAGGCCTATTGCCATTTTAAGAGAATGAATAAGAATAATAGGGGCTGGGGATGTGGCTCAAGCAGTAGCGTGCTCGCCTGGCATGCGTACGGCCCGGGTTCGATCCTCAGCACCACATACCAACAAAGATGTTGTGTCCGCCGAGAACTAAAAAATAAATATTAAAAATTCTCTCTCTCTCTCACACTCTTTCTCCTCTCTCTCTTTAAAAAAAAATAATAATAATTGGGGCCTGATTGGGTGGCCCATGCCTATAATCTCAGCAATTCTGAAGGATGAGGCAGGAGGATTGCAAATTTGAGGCCTCCCTTTGCTATTTGGCAAGACCTTGTCTCAAAACAACTGGGGATAGAGCCCAGCCGGAAAAGCAACTCTGGATTCAATTCTCCCTACCAAAAAAAGTAATTGGGGGTGCCAAGTGGATTAGCCTGAGGTCAGGAGACAGGAATTGTGGTCTGGCTATGGATTTGGAAAAGCTTTCTAAGCTTCAATTTGTTCCTCTGTAAAAATGAGAGTTGTGGGCTGGGGATGTGGCTCAAGCGGTAGCGCACTCGCCTGGCATGCATGCGGCCCGGGTTCGATCCTCAGCACCACATACAAATATGTTGTGTCCGCCGAAAACTAAAAAATAAATATTAAAAATATTCTCTTTCTCACTCTCTCTTAAAAAAAAAAATGAGAGTTGTAAGTAGATAGATGGCTTTCTGAACACTTCTGGTCTGTTATGGGTACAAGCTTTGCAAGAGACCTCAGCTGGGGAAATAGTATGTTAATAAAGTTTGGAAGTAGAGAACCTACCTACACTTAAAGCTTAGGGAGCTAGTACTCTTAAACCTCCCAAATCCAAGCAATATTCTCCCCACTTCTGTGTCCATCTCCTTACATAATCCATCCTAGGGCTATGCAAGCAACTCTCCCCACTGCTCAAGGACCTACACTGTCAACGCAGGGTGAGGGGGACAATAGGGTTTGTGTCGCAGGGGTAGTCCTTGACGCCACGTAACAATGCGCAGGGCAACCCCCATCAAGGGCCCTCATCTCCACCAGAAAGACCCTCAAGAATCCACGGAGGTTGGCATGGCTCACTTTTGCGAGTGTCCTCTGCGATTGGAGAAGGGCTTTATTTTGGATGGGGTAGCCGTGAGCACCGTGTCCCGTGCCTATGGCTACACTAGGCCCAAACTCTGGTCGGCTATTCCGCCCTACAATGCACAGCAGGACTACCACACTCGCCGGTACTTTCAGAGCCACGTGGTTCCGCCCATTTTGCGGAAAACTCAACAGGTACGAGGACTTCTTGGAGGAGCCCTTGATTTCAGCCCACGTGGCGCACTGACTTTCCAGATTAGCACCTCGGCAAATCAGGGAGTCTTACTGCAGCGCGCTCAGCCCAGAGTCGGCCTCCGCTTCCACCCCTGGGCCTGTGCTAGCCAAGTAGTCCGAGAAGTGGACGAGGGGAAGGCAGGTACTGAGCTGCGAGCTCGGCCGCAGGATGGTCTCATTTCAGGTGTCTGACTAGGGGCTAGGCCTTTCAAAGTCTTCCTCTCCTCAGTGAGTCCATTTTCTCTTTTGTGACTCCACAGGCCCATCCTTTAGAGTGACCTCAGGTTGCAAATCCTCTCAAACGGCAAAAAACCCTTGTGACCTGTGAGCAAGACAAAGGGAACAGTCTTGACTGGTGGGCGAGGAGGCTGTGGTCCTGGGGTCACAGTTGTAGGGATGGGACTCACTCTCCTGACCTTTGCGCAGAAGGAGAGGAACACTTCACCCCCACCCCGTGCATTCTGAGGACTTGGTGCCTCCCCAAGTCTACCAAATCAGCAGTGATTTCCAGGGACAAAAGATTCTTAGGCAGCGGGCTGATAGTTCCATTTTTTTTCCCCAACACTGTAATTTTGAGGTGGGTGGGGCGGGGCTCCTCACTCACTATGTTGCCTGCTGAGCATGTTTAATGTGTAAGGTATTCTTTAATCATCAAAACCACCATTTGTATGCCGGGTGTGATAACACACACCTATAATCCTAGTGGCTATCGATGCTCAAGCTGGAGAAGGATCACAAGTTCAAAACCAGCTTCAGCAACTGAGAGAGGTCCTAAGTAACTCTTACTAGGTCCTAGTGAAATCCTGTCTCAAAGATTGAAAGGACTGGGGATGTACCTCAGTGGTAAATTGCCCCTGGCTTAAATCCCCAATACCCCCAAATAAGCTAAAACCCCCCACCATTTGTGGTTGGCATTATTTTTATTTTAAAGATAATATGTATCAAGTCTTTGTTATGCCAGGCTATTTACTTTAACTAAATAACTTAAATTTCATAGCAACCCTCCTTTTAGTGATAAGAAAACTGAGGGTCCTAATGAAAAAGCTGCATAATTGACCCAGGGTCACAGCTTGCTAGAGTTGGAATCCAGTGTATGGCAGCACACACTGAGCCCTGCAAGCTGTTGCACAGCTTATTAACTATATTTAATCTGTCTCCAGTTACCTCGGGCTCTAACCTCTTCCCCAACAAGTCCCAGGGAGTTTGCACTGTGTACTTCTAGACATGGTTTCTGACAGTCTTCTATATTTTCTTCCTCATTTTCAGGATCATGGCGGTACAGGAAGGGATGGCTGGATAGTAGATTATTTCCACATTTTTGGGCAAGGACAGAGATATCTCAACAGAAGAAACTGGGCAGGGGCAGGCAAGTGCCATCTCACTGTCCAGTCTCACATGATCCCACTAAGGAAGAATAGTATGCTTCTCACAATTTAGAGAAAGAAACCAGGCTGCAGGGAACCCCAGGAACTGCATCCTCCCAGGTTTTCTTCTCCTATGTGAGCACTTCCTCTATACCAGGTGCCTTTTTCCCTCATACTATCCCCAGGTTACTGCTGGGGAAACAGGTATGTTGCATGAAAATGATTTGCTGAGAAGGGCTGAGCTGGATTTGAACTTCCTCTCTGTCCACCCAAATGCCCAAGTCCCCCAGATGACTCCCTGAGCAGACTGTGTCTCATTGTCCAGGCTTAATTTAGCAGCAATGGGAAGACCTAAGAGATTTTTCTGGCAGTGTGCACCCTACCTCCACCCCTACTCCACCATCTTTTGGCCTCATGCTGCTCACGTGATCCTTTGCAACATTTGGCTAAATTGACTTCATTCATTTTTCTCCATATGGGTCAGAGGCAAGGATTAAAAATTCTCGCATCTCTGGGGAGCGAGGCAAGTTCAGCTAAGCTGAGAAGTTTCTGGCACTTCCTGTCCCAATACATATAGTCATGATCTCTTCCTATCAGTATTCCCGATGTAGGGCTTGATTTCTAGAAAGCTGCTGCCACCTGGACTTCACCAGTCCTTGTCTTTTCAATCAAGAGGATCAGGACCCTTGAGAAGTGAGCATTTAGCTCCAGGCATGGGGAGTGTAGTGACTATGGGCACCCCTTTCAGCCTGTGGGAATGGGGAAAATGAGAGGGTGTTGCATGCTGGCTCAGCCTCTATCTCTGCCCGAAGGGCATTCCATCCAACAGGTGACCGGGCATGACCACTACAATGTCGATTTGAAGCCAACCACGGGGTTCAACGGTAGGTTTGGCTACCGCCGTAACACCCCATCCCTCCGTCATCACACATCCGTGTTTGGGGAGATCACTCAATTCCCTCTCTTCTGACAACATTGCTTCCTTATTACAGCCATTGGCCTGAATTTCTAAGAAAGTTGTTTATATGAATTCTCAATGATATTTTATATTAAAATTTATTTGTGTCTCCAAGTGTGTAGTTTCTCCCCTATTGTCAGGGACAAGTGAGCTTTTCTACCCTCAGTTTCTCTACCTCTGGAGAGAAGAGGAGCCAGGGCTTCTCGGGTCTACACCCTAGCACTCCATGCCAGTGAGGGGCCTCAGTTCTCATTTGTTCGCATGATCCGAAGGAACTACATTAGGTTTGTTTTGGAATAACCCAGGTGTCTTGCACATGCTAGACCAGTACTCTGCTACTGAGCTACCCACCTGCATCCTGGGAACTTCACTCTTAACCTTCAATGAAACACTTCCCCGGTATCAGTAGCACTCTAAAGTCAGAAACTAGGTACTATTTCTATGAAAAACAGAGATGGCAATGAGTCTGAAGGGATTGGTCTTTGGTTGCCCTGAGAAGGATTTTCTGATATGTCAAATCATTACATTCCAGAAAACTGAGATTTTGCCAGGCATGGTAGTATATGCTAGTAATTCTAGCAACTTGGGAGGCTGAGGAAAGAGAACTGAAAATTCAGCAGCTTAGTAAAGCCCTAAACAACTTAGCCAGACCCTATCTCAAAGAATAAAAAGGGCTGAGGATATAGCTCAGAGGTTAGTGCCCCTGGGTTCAATCCCCACTTACCAAAATAAAACAAAACAAAAGCAAAACAAAGCCAGATCTCCTTTCTACTCTCAATTCATCTAAAGGCAGGGCAAACAAGGGGAGAATATAGAGCTTTTTATTTATTTAGTACTGGGGATTGGACTCAGGTGCGTTTACCACTAAGCTACACCCCCTAGTCCTGTTTATTTTTATTCCGAGATGGGGTCTCACTGTTTGTTGAGGCTGACCTACAAACTTGAGATCCTCCTGCCTCAGCCTCCTGCTCAGCTTCTCGAATCACTGGGATTACAAGTGTGGGCCACAGGGCCTGGCTGTTGTTCTTGGTTGATTTTTAATCCAAGGATTCTGACAGAGTTTCCAGAATGCTTTGCTTATGCTCTGTCACTTTCCTTTTCAGCTAGTTTGTAGGATGTCAGTTTTAAAGGTCTCCACCCAGTTTACTGGCATTCATCAGTCAAAGCAGATGATGGATTCTAAGAAGGTGAGGCTTCAGAACACAAAGCTTGCCAGAGTTCTAGCATTGGTGGAACCCCATTGTACTGAGTCACCATAAGTGGATAAGGAAAGAGAATTATGGGGGCTGGGGATGTGGCTCAAGCCATACTGCGCTCTCCTGGCATGCACGGGACACTGGGTTCGATCCTCAGCACCACATACAAATAAAATAAAGATGTTGTGTCCACCGAAAAAAACCAAAAAAATAAAATTATGGTAGGGTGTGGTGATATAGCTGAGGGGTAGAGCACTTGAGTGGAGATGAAGAGGTCCCTGATTCAAGTCCGGGTGCCCCCTTCCTTCTCTAGTATTTGATATCTATAATTGAGACTAAGAGCCCATTCTTGTCCTGAGATATTTGTTTTTTCCATTTTCCAAGGGACTGCTAAGAGGAAGTCCTCAGAAACTCCCACCTTGGGCTTCAATTAAGACAAAGACTCCAAGGAAATTCTAAATCTCAGATTAGGGCTGACACTGCTTGCAGGGGTGAATGCCTATAATCCTGACAGCTGCGGAGACTGGAAGCAGGAGGAGTGAGTTCAAAGCCAGACTCAGCAGTTTAGTGAGCCCCTCTCACAAAACATAAAAAAGCTGGGGATGTGGCTCAGTTGTTGAGCACCCCTGGGTTCAATCCCAGGGCTGACATCTGTGAACACAATTTGTCAATATGAGTGACAGATAAAAGGCAAAGATGTACGAGTAACATATTTTTGAAAGCTTAGTGCATGCAAAGCTGCTGCAAATTAAAAGATGAAAGAAGGTTCCTGTTCTCAGGGGGCCTTCAGTCTGGCAGAAGCTGACTCATTCATATCAGTCAGAGGATGAGTACTTGTTTATAGTTATATAAAAATAAATAAAATTGTTCTATTTCTCCTTCTTTGGTACTAGGGATTGAACCCAAGGGATGCTTGACCACTGAGCTACATCTCCAATTCCTTTTATTTTTTATTTAAAGATAAGGTGTCTGTAATTTGCCCAGGCTGGTCTCAAACTTGTGATCTTCCTGCCTTAGCCTCCCAAGTAGCTGGGATCACAAGTGTGTGCCACTGTTTCTGGTTTATGGTAGAAAATTCAAAGAAAAAAATATATGGGAGGTAAAAAGTTTTGAGTCCTTGCATGTCTGAAAATACTTTATGTTGCCTTTGAGCACATAAGAGACAGTTTATCTTAGAACTGATTTATCATTGAAAAATGTTTAAGGGGGGCTGGGGATGTGGCTCAAGCGGTAGCGTGATCCCCTGGCATGCATGCGGCCCAGGTTTGATCCTCAGCACCACATACAAACAAAGTTGTTGTGTCCGCCGAAAACTAAAAAAAAATAATAAATATTAAAAAAAAATGTTTAAGGACTTTACGAATTTCCATTGTCTTCTGGTTTCTGTTAATTAGACTTAATGTCATTCATATTCCCATGTGTGATCCATTTCTGTCTTAGGATTTTTGTTCTCTTTTTTTTTTTTATTTTTT